AATATTAGTAAAGCTTAATTTCTTTCTTATTTTTTAGATTAAAAAAAATATAAATAGAAGTTCAAATATTTTCTTTCTGCAACCCAGTGGATCGTCTTGTGCACCCCCTGGAGTGCACGCACCCTACTTTGGAGACCACTGCTCTAGTGGGAAGTTACAGCTGTGCAGGTGAGTGGCAGCCAGAGCAGGTTTTCTGCTTTAACGTGTGAATGCTCCACTAATCTGAACAACACTAAGCCTATTAACACTTGTGTCGCTTTCAGCATAAGGTGCAACAAGGCCCTGAGAATTACTCTGCTTCAACCTACTATGCAGAAGCAACCCTAATTTTTTCCACCAGGAAATAGTTTTCATTGTTTCTTACTAATTTTTGGCTAATTTGAGGAGACCTTACTTTTATAATTGTGCTTTTAAATTGACTTCTAGAATTATTTGTGTATGTGATGTTAATTATATAGGCCATGGACAGGTGGTCACTTCTAGTGGTAAGTCTGTGAAATTCTTACCACTAGAAAAGAGCTTGAGAGTTGGAGCATACATGCGTTCTAGCCAGGGGGTGCTAGAGGGCTGCTCCTTGGGCTATCCTTACCCTTAGAGGAGTTAGTTAATTCACAACCTGTCCTATCCCCTTTCTTGGAAAGGGAGCAGGTTGTCAATAGATTTCATAGACATTAGGGCTGGAAGGGACCTTGGAAGATCTTCGACTCCAGCCCCCTGCCCCAGGGGCAGGAAGTCAGCAGGGATCATAGGATCCCAGCAAGATAAACATCCAAACGTCTCTTGAAGGTGTTCAAAGTAGGTGCTTAAACCACCTCCGGTGGCAGTCTATTCCAGACTTTGGGGGCTTGGACAGTAAAGAAATTCTTCCTTATGCCCAGTCTGAAATGGTTACGGAGGAGTTTTTGACTGTTTGATCTTGTCATCTCTTGGGGCGGTCTGGTGGACAGACATTCCTCCAGATCCTGGTGAGCACCCCTTATAAACTTATAGACAGGCACTAGATCACCCCTGAGCCTGTGCTTTTCCAGGCTGAAGAGTCCCATGGCTCTCAGCCTGTTGTCATAAGGCCTGTTTTCCTGCCCCCTGATCATGCACGTGGCTCTCTGCACTCTCTCAAGCTTCTCCACATCCTTTTTGAATTGTGGAGCCCAGAACTGGACACAGTACTCCAGCTGTGGCCTCACTAAGGCAGAGTACAATAGGAGAATGATGTCCTGGGATTTGCTTGAGAAGCATCTGTGGATACAAGCCAGCGTTTTGCTTGCTTTACTAGCTGCAGCATCACGTTGATTTCTAGTGTTCATCTTGTGGTTGATCATGACCCCTAAGTCCCTTTCCATCCATAGTGCTAGCCAGCATAGCATTGCCAAGCACATAAACATGCTGCAGATTTTTCTCCCCGAGCTGGAGAACCTTGCATTTTTTCGGTATTAAACACCATCAGGTTCTTGTCCACCCATTTCCTGAGCCTGTCAGTCAGCTTGGATCGCCCTCCTGCCCTCAGGCATGTATGCTTTACACCAAAGTTTGGTGTCATTGGTGAACTTGACAAGTCCGCTTCTTATACCAATGT